AACTGCTCTTCAGGTAGCAGAGATGAGTTCCTCTGGAGAAAACAGTGGACTCTGTCATTATACCCTGCTGAGGTCACCACAGCAAATTGACACTGTTTGCCCAAAGCCAGAGCACTGCCCCAGAGCCTCTTTCTAGACCTCATTGTATTGCTTTCACAACGGGCTTTACTGCTAGTTCTCTATAAAGCTGCATCACTTGTTACTTACTTCGTGGTTGAGTTGCATACTTAACACATCTGAGTGAGTAAAACCTTAAAAAGCATTCCATACATTCCAAAAGAGAAAATATTTCACAGGGTTTCCCCCCCTTCCATTTACCTCTACCCCACACTAAAACTGGGGTGGGGGAGTCCTCTGTGGGTTTTTTCTATTTCTTTCTCTCCCCCCACCCCTGGGGCCTTTATACCTCTACCTAAAAGCTGCAGATAAAAGCATAGCTCCGGTGGCTGGTTGAGAATTTGGCAGTCCAAACCTGCATCCCTTGGCATAATGATGACTTTCAGCACTGCATGGTTGGTGGGTCGCCCACCAACAAGAAGACTAGAAAGGGGAAGTTTATTCTGTTGACTGATGCAGCCAAGATCTCTGCTACTCTCACGTGCGTCCTTCCCCAGGGATTAAAAGGAAGTGAGTCAAATGCCCAAGCTTAATTTTTCCAGGGGTCACTTCAGCCTGCCATTCACTCCCTGAATATGCTCATAAATCGGATGAAGAACTGAATGACCAAATTGCTCTGTCAGGATAACCCGATCAGGCCTGTCTCACGGATCTTTAAGGCTACAGCGGCAGACTTTTGAACCCTGTTAGCCAACCGTCCTTGCAAGGTGAGGTCTGAAAGATGTTGATTTAGTACTGGTGATTTCCCCCATAACCCACAGAAATTTCTAAATGCCTGTGTGTATTCTAAAAGCAACAACAGGGAAATACCTTTATTAAGACATCACAAGGAAGTGAGTAAACTCTTGAGTTCACTAGAACCCTGCTTCGGGCTTGGATGTTCAGCAAAACAAAAGAGGAGTGGGAAGAGGAAAAAAAAGTCACGCTTAGACATGAGAAAGGGCAGACCTACAGATCGCAATGTCTTTCACATTTGTATCCTTCCTTTGAGGAGTTCAGGGTAGAATACACAGTCCTTTCCTCCTCATTTTTTCCTCACAACAGCCACGTGAGGTTGGCTCAGCTGGAAGAAAGTGACCTCAGTGACAGAGGTGGGATTTCAACCTGCTCCTCCCAATCCAGCTCTCTCAACTATGGCACACTGGGAAGAAGAAGAAGAAGAGGAGGAGGAGGAGGAAGAGGAGGAGATTGGATTTATACCCCACCCTTCACTACCCGAAGGAATCCCAGAGCAGTTTACAATCTCCTTTCTCTTCCCCTCCCCACAACAGACACCCTGTGAGGTAGGTGGGGCTGCGAGAGCTCCCTTGAGAAAACAGCTCTGAGAGAAATGTGACTGGCCCAAGGTCACATCATGTCTAGGGTTGCCAACCTCCAGGTGGGGGCTGCAAATATCCTGGAATTACAACTGATCTCCAGACTACATGAATCACTTATTTATTTATTTAAAATATTTATTATACTTCTGGAGAAAATGGCTGCTCAGGAAGGGCGACTGCACGCCATTATACCCTGCCAAGGTCCCTCCCCTCCCTAAACCCCACTCTCCCAGGCTCCACCCTCAGATCTACAGGTATTTTCGCACCCAGAGCTGGGAACCCTACTCATGCTAGTAATACCCTCCCTCCTTAAGATAGCCTAAAGAGAAGTTTTAGTGAACTCAGAACCTTACTCATTTTTTAAACTCTTAATTTGATCCTAATGAAAACATTTGGATCTGATCCTAAAAAAAATATTTTGACTTCCCTCCTAAACGGTCAACGTGACGACCTACAAAATGTTAGCATCAGAAGCCTATAAGCTGCGTAAGAACAGTTCTCAAGTTCAGAATCCTTTGCCTGCTTATAAAGAGAGCAGTCATTAAATAAACACCTCAGAGGGGGAAAAAGAACAGATTTACGGATACGTTTATAAAGTCTTTATGAAAGGAGGCCATAACGGAAAATTACAGACCACTTGAACTAAGAGACTTGTTTATTTTTTGTTTCATGAGAATTGAGGATATTAATAGTACACAATGAACAAGTGTGTCAAAAAAGTGTAAAATAAAAATGCAGTGTGTGCTGAAAATAGGAAGTTAAAAAAAGAAAGAAAAGTTTAAAAAAGAAAGAAAAGCTGCAGCTTCTTTCTAAGATCTTTGGTTTTAATCTTTGGTGAAACAACAATACAGCATTTAAACAACAAAGAAACATGAAGAGCCCAATCCAGCTGAAATTATGGTTTTCAATAGGAGGATGGAGCTGAACAAAATTTTCTTCTGAAATTAATGGGTTTTTTCCTCGTTTGTACGGGTTGCTAATAGATTTGAGCTTTTCCCAATACTCTAAATGTTACAGAAAACTAAGATAGGTAGCCCACAAATAGGACAGATGGACTCTGATTCCAGGGGAACCTGAAGAAGTGAGCGGTGACTCATGAAAGTTCATACACTGACACAAATTTTTTTAGCCTTTAAGGTGCTACTGGACTCTTGCTCTTTTCTACAGAAAACTAGTTGATTGTTATTCACAAAATTCTTAAGGTTGCTTTTGTACAAGGTACTCAGGGCAATGTAACTTTTTTAAAATTATCAGCTTAATTTTTTTCACTGCTCACCCACCGTGAAAGTTTGCCAGAGCACTTAGTGGATAAATGTAAAAAATGCTACCTTTTAACTTATATCTCCCCCCCCTTCATTAAATGCCCTGCTACCCTCAGAGTCCATAGCAGTGCAAAGAGGATATTTTTCAGAACCAGTGTTTGTGATAAAGGAAAGGTGATAACAATCTTCAAAAAACCCATTCTGGAGCTGGAGAAATCGTATGGATAGAGTTTGGAGCATAACATTTTGAAGGCAATGAGATTCAAGGGGTATTTTTTGGTTGTTCGTTTTTAACCAGCAATGCTCATATTCTACATTCTGAAGCTTTTGGTCTTTCAAATGGCAGAAATCACAGCACAAATTGAAAAGAGTGAAACAAATACAAAAAAAAAAGTCCAACTAACACCCACTGCCCCCATCCAGGAAAACCCGTGGTTATGATGATTAAATCTTTATTTATTGTGAAAACATTCATCGTCTTTACTTATTAATACTCACAGTCACAGCCACTCTTTGAGCTACACCAATAGAAGGAGGGCTTGCGAGCAGAAAGAGAATTCATATTAGATTATATTGTTATTAATATCAGTATCAATTAAAATAATTGTCATGTCTAGGGGGTCGCAAACTCAGGTTTGGGGAATTCCTGGAGATTTGGGGGCAGTGCCTAGGGAAGGTGTAGTTTGGGGGAGGGAACTCAGACGCTCCCGTTTCCTCTATGGGAACTGATCCCTGCAGTCTGGAAACCAGTTGTAATTCTGGGGGAACTCTAGGCCCCACCTGGAGGTTGGTAATCATAGTCCAGTATGAATTTCTTCTCCTCTTTCTCCAGGTAAGTCTTCTGTTTCTCCAACTCATTTTTGAGTCTGGCCAGTTGTACAATTTTTAAATGTTAGTTATAAATGATGCATTTTATGTAGTTAAAGCAATGAAATAAGTGGTGATTTGATAGGAAATTGTGCCATATATTTCCAAAATCTCAAAAAAAAATAAAAATCCATTACTTTAAAATGTTCAGAAATTTTACATCTTTTTTTACATCTTTATTGCACTTGGATCCACAGAAAAATGTACCTTCACAGCTGTGTGCAGGAATTCCACAGGCAAAACTTTTCCCTGGCAAAGAGTTCCAAGTGCTGGTTTGCTTTCAGGATATTTTGAAGAAGAAATGACTGCCCTCTTTGCTGGGCTAGATGTAAACGTTTGAACCATCTCCCACTGCGGCAACTTGATGTGCAGATATTAGCAGCTGAAGATGTTTATTTCCAAGCTGTGGAACCCTGCTAATTTCTGTACATTAAGCCGCTTGTGGTTAACAGCACAAGAACAGGCTAGGCCGAGTTTCTTCTGATCAGTTGACGACCCAGCAGAGCCAGATGTGAGTCTCAACTCAGTTCCAGGGAAATCTTTCAGTCTGTCCACCTATCCCTTTTGTAAAGACTGTTCTTCTGCCTTCAGCAGAGGCCAAATTGGGGGAGGGGGAAATAACAGATAAAGAAGTGACATCATATATGTTAATATTCAGAAGCCGGGGGGGGGGCGCGGAGAGTATGTTAATCTCCCAGCATGCACTACTGGCTGCAAAAAGTTACCACTCTTCAAGAAAAGAACTTCAGTGGGAGACTCCAAAGTGAAACAGCTGAAAGGGTGTCGCCGTCCCCCCCCCCCTAAACTTGGGCTAAGTCATATAGTTTAGTAAAACCTGGGACTCCTCAACCCATTCAAAGTGTTAACTGGCTTTATGGCCCATTATTTCTATTGTGAACGGGCTTTATATATATTTTTATTACCTTTGAGTTGGACACAATTGCATCTTGCCCTGTACTGCATGCATTCCGTGGCCCTTTGACCCCTGCTGTTTGTGTTCCCACCCAAAACTTCACATGATACAAGAGCCCACCTTGCTAGGCACTGGTTCCCACGAAGCGGGCTCTAGTCCAAGCAAGTTTGCGCGGGAATGCAAAGCGTGTTTGTCTGCAAGGTGCCATTAGGCTCCTCCGTTTATGAGGATGTTTATTCACTGCGCTCTGTTGCAGCGGCGGGTTCCCGTTGCGCCATGCCCCCCCCCCCCACCTGTTGCTGTCCCTCTGTGTGACCCACACGGTTTCCTCTCTTGCCTTTAGAAGACACAAAAGATGCATGCAAATTGTCATTTTTGCAGCCAGAGGAGCTGAGCTCGAGGGAGGAAGTGCCCCGGGCCAGCTCTCGCCGGCTTTTCCTTCAAGCTGGAGAGCACGCGCTTAGGCGCGCGCGTAGAGAGATCCCCAGAAGTCGACAGGAGCGTCACGGGCCAGTGAGGAGCTCCTGGCAACCTCTGCTGCTCTGCAAGTGATCGGGATCCGGTCCGTTTTTGGAACCGACCTGCCGAGGAGGTGAACTGTGAGTCCAACTCTTTTCCAGGGCTTTGCAAGGGGATGGGAAACATAACAGGAGAGAGGGGGCCCGTTTGCCCGCTGAACAGACCAGTGCCTTCAAGAGCAGCTTGGCCTACAGAATGAAATCAGGGCAATTTAGTTTTTCACCCCTGAGGACATAAAAGTGGCCATCAGCTGATTTCTGGGTAACCGGTGCCAGTTAAAGGGGGGTTAAAAGTTAGAAACTCTGCAGATGAATGTCATGATAATAAAGCTGCTAAGGTTAGCTGCCCGCCCTGAATTGCAGTCCTTAAAGACCTGTTGAAGACCTCTCTCTCCTTCCAAACATTTAACCCTACATCTCTGTCCTCCCCCTTTCCTTTCCTATTTGTGTCACACGCTTCTTTTCAGGAATAATGTACAATTTGTGTGAGTGTGTGTGTACCAAGACCAATTCCTCGAAGATGCTGTTAGCAATTAGTCATGGTAGCAAGATGACACCTCCATGTTAAGAGGCAGTGTATCTCTGAATTCCATAGCCTGTGGGAGGGGGGAAAGAATGGGGGTAGGTGGGTGTTTGTCTTCACACCCTGCTTGAGTGAGCTTCCCCAAGTCATCTGGCTGGCCACTGTAATGGCTGGACTGGACAATCTAGCAGGGTTCTTCTTCATATCACTGTTATGACTTAATAGCCATGTTCAGAAGTTACGGTGTACAAAGGTACACCCTGCATGTACATCTGTTTGTAAGAAAGAGCCAGTGCATGTAGTCTTTACAAATTAAACCGCAGACCATTGCCTAGATAAACATGGGGTTTCAGTCATTCATTCAGCTGCAGGTACACTGAATGTATCATGAGCAATACTTAATGCACGTAAAAAAGAAAATGAAATCTACACCGTACACCGATGTGCGTTCACTGTAACTTGTAAACAGGGCTTGAGAGCCAGTGTGGTACAGTAGACCTGGATTCAAATCTTTGATCCAAACTTGCTGTGTGACCTCGGGTCAGTCACCTCTTTCTCAGCCTGGTGGACCTCACAGGATTTCTGTGTGGATAAAATGAAGGGGGGGGAAATTACCTGCTGCCCTGATCTCCTTGGAAAAAGGGCGAAATAAGAGTCATACGGCGAAAAGGGGCTCTAACTCACACTCAAAATAAATTTCACATGAATGATAGTCCGCAGCTGTGCTTCCATTATCTGTGACAAAATCTCCGTACAGGATGCCTTCTGTTTGCCATTGATCTAACTTGTTTGTAATGTGAAAAGCGCTTTGCAGTTCTTTCTTTTTTTCCTGCCCTCTCCAACTGTCGTTTGGGCTGGATCCCTGTTACTTCCATTTTTACAGGTGAGAAGGCTGACAGCCAGTGACTTGCCCTATAAGTCCATGGTAGAGAGATGGGACTTCGATTCAAATCCAGGTTTCTTCCCAATGGACTTATTTGTTTCACTGTTCTGGCTTCTCTTTAGAAAATGAGTTTTGACGCTCAATCGACTTTGGGACTTGCGTTCTTCTCATGGGAAACACACCATTGTATCCTACCTGTTTTCATTTTGTCAAAACATATACATCCTGTGACCAAACATAAGATAGTTTTCACAAGTGAAAAAAACTTTAAAAAAACAACGTTTTTTTGTCATGTTGACATCTTGCAGGTCTTTGTTTAAGCTGCAATGAGAACTGCTTTACTAATTTGTGTGGATCACTTTTCTGGTGGTCAGTATATGGGCCGTCACTTTGCAAGGCTGAAATGCTGCATTTGTAAACTGGGGTCATGTGATCCAAAAAAACTATACACATGTATGGAGGGAGAGCCACGCATACCAACAGATGTCTGTGCGTATGCATATGTTCTTGGCCCCTTGAGCAGTAGCAACATTTGCGCTGGAAATATCAGTTGGTCATTCTGTTTAAGTTTTAAAATTTGAATTAAATAACGCAGGGTTCCCCAACATTTTTGACCCTGCGGTCATCTTTGGAATTCTGACACAGTATGGTGGGCACAGCCACAAAATGGCTGCCACAAAATGACTGCCCGGGGAGGTGGTGCCAGTCACAAAATGGCTGCTGCAGCTTGCCTTCAGTCATACTGGGGAAATCCTTGTGTGGCGGCAGTTGCTGCCAAAGCAACATTTAAAAAAATCTGCACAACCAATCAAAAGCTTTGATGGGCAAAAGCCCTACCTGGCCCTGCCCATTTTCTAAAAACACTTGGTGGACACCAGGAAAGGTGCTGGCGGATGCCATAGTGCCCAGAGCCATAACTAGCTTCAGTCATGACATACTTTTTTGGTGCTCCTCAGCAACGTTCCCTCTAAGCTGTGGAGTCTTGTGAGTAAAAATCCTACTTTCTGAGCTACTGGCCTTAAAGTTGTGAGCAAGTGATTTGATTACTGCATAACTTAGTTTGCTCTGGAGCCATCTTTCCTGAGCTAAGGCAAAAATGGGTGAGCTGGATGCTAAAAAACTATGAGCTAGCTCACACTAACTCAGCTTAGAGGGAACACTGCTCCTCAGCCTTGTGTGCTCTTGTTACAGCTCTGATGGTGCCCACAGGGACCCCTGAAATAGTGTGTGCCCTCTACAAATAAACCTCCATAGCTTTCCTCTGTTATTTTGTTTTGAAGCCTTAAGGGACCATTGGAAGTCTCTGAACCTCAGTTTAAGAACCATTGGAGTATTTCTCTTACCTCAGTTATTTCTTTGATTTTTTAAAAAGGACATATTTTCCTTTTTAAAAAGAAAAGAAAAGCTTTAAAAAAACCATCAGTTATTGTTTCAGGCAAATGCTTGGTTAATTGTTGAAAAATGGTTACAAATCAGGAATGCTCATGCTTCAGTGGCTGACGTGGCCTGACGTCTTTCTGTATGTGTACCCATAGCGTCCAGCCCTCATTTCTAATCGATCAGATTTTTGCAAAACCCAGTTACTCTCCCCAAACTGAGTAAACTACAATAAGAATAGAATGCATTTTGTTTTAAAGATGGCTCTGGCATATAGAATATGGGGACTCGGGTGTCAGGAGGAGGAGGGAGGTTTCTTTTAAAAGCACAAAGTTAAGACAGAGACTGAGAGGGGGGGGGGGAACCACCATCTCAACTAGACGTTATTCTTTCATCTGATGCTAGATAAAATACATGCAATCCTTTCTGATTTTTTTCTGATATTTTGATTGTATGAGAGCAGATGCACAGATGATAGATAAAATTCAAATAGGCAAAATAGGCTAGTAAATCAAAACAGGATGATAGAAAACATTGATTGGAATTTGCTAGCATGCACTAATACGTCACAGAATTGTCCCACTCCAGGGTTATCTGTGAGATCACTAGTATAGAAAAATACTGTTGCTGAGTTCACATGAATGCAAATACATTTGTTTTAAAAAAATTTCCCTCAAGTGACATGCCAGACCACAATACCCACTGTTTAGTAATCCAGAATAACTCCCAGTTTCGTAATCACAGTGACTAATCTGAATTAGAATTTGAGTTTTACCAGTAAACGTGCGATAAGACGATGGGAGGGGAGAAAAACACTGGTTTGCTAGTTGGACTGCATGAGTTCGATATAGTGATTAAATTGCTGGTGAGGGGTGATTAATCTGGATCTTTGTGAAAATGAAGAAATCCCTGGATATCCTGACTATCTGTACACAGATCAAGGTGGGCAGCCATGTTGGTATGAAGCAATAGAACAAAGTTAGAGTCCAGTGGCACCTTTAAATCCAACAAAGTTTGATTCAAGGTGTGAATAAAGTTGTCTGTATGCAAAGGGAGAAGGAAGCCAAGAGGGCAGATGGATAAAATTTAAATTTCACATCGAATGAGGCTAGAATGAGGTGTTCCGTGAATTTCTAACAGACTAAAGAGGAAACTTCATTGTGTTTCACATCGTGTCACCTCAGGCTGGGTCACACTGTGGCCAAGAAGACTACAGTTTGCTCAAGCAACTTTCTATCCAAGGTCATTGTAGGGTCACGCTAGAAACCTGCTCTTGGCAAGTAGTACAGACTTCACAGGTGATTTTACCATCTTTCTTTGTCGCTGGCATTTTATTTGTTGCCTTGAATCCTTGGACAGATATGTCAATAAATACATTTAATAGGAAGTGGCTGTACCATGAGCCTAAGGTTGCCAGTTCCGGGTTGGGAAATTCCTGGAGATTTGGGGGTAGAGCCTGGGGAGGGCAGGATTTGGGGGGAGGGAAGGGATCTCAGTGGGGTATAATGCCATAGACCCCCCACCCTCCAATGTGGCCATTTTCTCCATGGGAAATTATCTCTGTGGTCTGGAGATCAGTTGTCATTCTGGGAGATCTCCAGGCCCCATCTGGAGGCTGGCAACCCGGGGAGGTAGCTGTTTTAACGGACAGATTTGGGGCCGTATTAAGGATTAATCAATCTGATCCCTGAGGCAAAAGCTGGGAAATTCTCCAGCTCAACTTTCATAGAAATGGCAGAGTAATTCTTATCTTTGATTCCCCACTTCTCCACATGCAGCTGCTGGTGTGACCTTGGGTCAAGTTCTTTCAGAGCTGTTCTCTCAAGGGCAGTTCTCAAGAGAGCTCTCTCAGCCCCACCTACCACACAGGGTGTCTGTTGTGGGGAGGGGAAGGGAAGGGAGATTGTAAACCACTCTGAGGGTGCGTTCAGACGTGGCGTTTGCAACGGTATAGGTGCCGGTTGCAATCGGTGTACTTACCGGCGTTCACACGTAGAACATCTGCCTTCCGTCCCTAACCGTTGCAAAGCCCTTTAAACCATTGTACTCTGCCACTAGGTCCCCAAGTGGTGGTATCCTGAGTACAACGGTTGTAATCGCTGTACCCGCCGTCTGATCGCTCTCCACCGTTGAGAAACAACTTCCGTTCGGAAGCCTGAGGCTTCCGATTTTTGCCCGCCATTTTTTTTTTTAAAGGTCGGCGATATGCGCTTGGGCGAAGCTTTGCCCTGGCGTTTGTTTTTAAAAAAAGAGAAAAGGGCCTTTCGGAGGCGTCCGGGACCTCAGGGAGGCTACTTT